TACACTTTCCAGAGAAAAAAGTTCACAAACCTTGACAAAGTGAGAGAGAAGTAAAGGGGTGAGGGAGAAATACCTTATTTGCTGCTCGGATGACTAATGTAAGAGCGTTTTCTCTGCTAATAAAACCCAAGTGTGGTCATACGCATGTGCCCTTTTTTCGTTGCCAGAAAACAGACTTCTGTCTGAATGGTTCGTTTTCTTCCTCTACTCCAGCCTATCCTGGTAGCTTTAAGAATAGGTGCACTTTGTAGAAGCAGCTCGGTGAGCAAGATTGTATAGTTTATGGTATACATAAACTATTTCATCATTTCAATTTACCTGTGAACTAGTTTTGACTTGTTAGGCCTTCTGCTTAGATACAGTTGAATTATTCCTTGCCACCATTAAGTAAAAGCTGTATTTTTAACTCGTTTGTAGAAAAGCAGTTGAAGTGGGAGTATTTGCAGCTTAAGCTAATTTGACTGGAAGATCTGAAGCTGTTGGTTATTAGATGAAAGCCACGTTAATGCTTCTTGAAAACAGACATTGACACTTCATTTTCCTAGCTTTCTTGTAACACAGGTGATGCCAAGATGATGATGCATCAGCAGTGCTATTTCTACCCATTTTTCTAGGACAAGCAGCTGTGTAACACGTACTCCTCCTCCTTGTATTCCTCCAGGAGAGTGTTTGTGTTGCTAGACTGGAATACCGGTGGAGATTTCATTACAGGCAGTGGGGTAACATTAGCATTCATTTTTTAAGTGGTTAAGGAGAGCACAGCAAAAGTGAGTCGACGTGGGGAGAGCTTGCAGGTCAGGCATTTTAATCCTTTGGGGTCTTTGGAGAACCTTTTTTCTCCATTCTTGGACTTAGTTCTGTTGCTGCTGCTTTTGTCTGTGTAGTTAAGATGCCACTTGGTCAGTTATGGTAATCAGAGTTATTGTACAAATATAAAAGTACCCTTACTTCCATTCCTGTGTGGTAGAAGACAAATTTTCTTGTTATTTGGTTAATTGGTTTTATGTAATTTGTGTTACAATCTAGATGCAGTTAGTATCTCGAAGATGTAGTGATGTTACTGATGAAATGTTTTGTTCGAAGTGGTGTAAAATTTGCAGGAGTGCAGATGCATGTTATACTGGTGTAATCATATTACAGAGATTAACGTAGAAAGTGATTCCAGTTTTGTTGCGACTGGAAACAAAAGCGACTGACAATCAGGACAGTTTGAGATGTTGCTCTAAGAGAGGTATTTAACATGAATTTTTTTTTAAAGAGAACTGATATTGGGAGGCAGGTACTCGACAGCACGTCAGACCGAACACTAAAATTGGTGACACCAGCTCACTAGTGAGTTTTGGAAACGCAGGCTGAAAGTCCTTTCTGTGGTACCAGCTTCAATAGTCTCATTCATTCAATGTTCTTAACTTGTATTTTAGAAAAAATATATTGCAAAAGTGATATACTTTTAAAAAAAAATTTCTCATCTGCCAAGTATTTGTATAACATTCTAGTCTCACAATTTTAAGTTCATCAAGAAGGCGGCAAAGATACAGGTCTCTTGATGTCCTCTCCAGTCACACAGGAAGGAATTCAGAACTACAGTTGTATCTGGTTCTTTCAGACATTTTCAGGAATTTCTTGGTTTGTGGGGGTTTTTTTTGGTTTGGTTTTTTTTTTGGTACCCTCCAAAGCAGTATGAGAATGTTTTGAATTCAATCCCTGAACTTTAATTGCAAAATCTTGATAGGTGGAAATAAGGCAAATAAATTAAATCTGAAGTACTGGTAACATAAGAAAGTTTAATTAAAAACTGGAGCACCCATGCCACCACCAGCTTCATGTGAAAAGAGACACCATTTTAAAATTGCACAAAGTATATTTAATTTCGTATTGATTTCTTTTTAATTTATGTGCTAGTTGCTAGTATCTGAAAGGAGAGGTTTTCTGTATGTCGTGTGCCATCCTGCCTAATGCCATCTCTTTTCTAAGGTTTATTCAAGCATTGTTCACTTCTGTTTTCATCCTTGGTCTCCTAGATGTAAGCATCTGCAAGAGGCATTCACTTTTGAAAACTCTTAGAAGTTCAGAACTTGTGTATCTTGAAACTAGAATTTAAAAAAGGGTGGAAAGCAACCCTTGTGAATAACTTTCTTTTTAAAGTAATTGGTTGTTAAACCCCAGTATGAAAGATACTAGATGGAAAAAACATCAATTTCTGATCGTGCACTGTAAGAAAAGCATTTTGTTATGTTGGTATATGTTTACTCACATTAGTTAAAGTCATGTTAATTTTAATACGTTTAATTGTACATCTGTGTCAAATGGTCAAATTGGGTTACAGTTGTGAATTGCAAAATGGAATAGATCCATCAGTATGTTTTAGGTTTACTATTTTGTTTTTCCATTCCAAAGGAGAGCTTTGGAAACACTGACAAGAAAGTGGAAAGGTAGTAGAGGTAGATTTTTATCTCCCTCCCCC